GCCGGTGCCGTGGGCCCGGTGAACGCGGAGTGCCCGGCCGCCTCCCTGCCGCTGAACGCGGGGCTGTCGGCGGTGGAGGGGGGTTTCCTTGTGCCCGGCAGCGTCTGGCCGTTCAGACGTGGCGCTGCACACGCGGAGTGCTTCGGGTTCAAAAATAGCGTGGGTACAGGACGTCAGTGACATACATGCAATAGGAAGTGGCTTAATGGCTAAGTACTATATGAGGGGAAACAAGAAGAAAAAAAAAACCCACAACCTCATCCCTTTCCTCTTTCCAGATCATAAATTTTATTTCTCCACACTCAGTTTTCTCAGTTCCATGTAGACTATGGAAAAAGAAATGACAGAATATTGGGTACTATGACAAATCCTTCACATACATCAGTTTTGAAGTTCAGCGTCCTTAATAGGATACCCCACACCCCTGAATCCAGCAATTTTAACAACAGTTCGTTTGGCTTGATGTGTCATTTATTACTTTTTAGATGGTAGAAGAAAAGGATTTAGAGAGGCCTTAGTAAGGTGGTACCCTTTCTCTAAAGCTTTCATCCAGTCTTTCAAAGGCTTCACAAAGTTTAGCTGAGATGTAACATTTTCCAGGTTTGCATATCCAACAAACATTAAACACAACACAAATATAACAGGGACTACGTTTACATTATTGTGGTGGCTGATGGGCTTACAGTGTTTCTAGTAATGTTCGTTGCCAAGAATGCACAGTAAAATGAGACTACTTGTTACATGGAAAAAATGCAGCATCTTAAGGGATCTGACCATAAGTTTTTCAAGCTGTTTTTATAGAGGTGGTATAATGGAAGCTCAAAAATGAAGGGACAGCAGCGTCTGGCCTTTAGTTTCAGATGAAAAAAAAAAAAAATCATTACAAACATAATTTTTAATAAAATGCCCCAGTGGTACAGCAGCATCTGAGGTCAGTATTACCAGGAGGCTGGGCAGCTGTTGCGGGGAGCAGAAGAGCCTGCAACTCAGAGGTTGTATCTGTGCTGGAGTGGTTCTAAAGCACAGCATGAGCTAAATGATTGTTAACACACAGATGTGTTCATAGAGTTCACGTGACAAAGTCTAACTATATCTTCCAGTCTGGTTTAAATCACCAAATCTGAGTGTAAATCAGATTAGCAACCAGAATGTGTCTTCCTCCCAGCCCCACTAAAAAACATTTACGGTGTTGACCTTTTTGGTAGCTATCCTTGTTTCTTGCTCCCCTAAAAAGAATAGGAAGCTGCAGGAGTAGTCATTTGTTGTCCTTTTTCCCCGGAACATGTTCATTTTCCTGTTAATGAGTATGCAAGCCTGAATTCCAGGAGGACTGACTACGAGTTAAAGCATGAATGCTTCAGAGAACTGAAAATTAGAACGGGATGAAAAGTATTCCTAACTGTTAATTTCTGAGTTTAACAGACATGACTCTTGGCCAAGAAGCCAATGCCTGGCTCCAAGATTGAAAAAAGAGACATTAATAAGACTAAGAAAGAAAAAAAATTAATATCTTTTCATTCCCCCACAAAGACCAGTGCATTTTCTGTGTTTGAAGAACCTTACAAATTTTTAAGAGAGTTGAAACAGGGTTTGCAGTACCTCTCTAGCTGCCTAGCACTGTGTAACTTTCCTGAGCTGGAAGAAACTTTCTATCTTGATAAAAACCCCTTATGTTAGGACATTATAAAACATCTCACAGATGTCTTATACATACTTGGCCATTGCCAAAAAGCAGAGGTAATAAATATGTACTTACCCTAAAAGTAACAGAAAATAATTGTCTTGAGCCTGTGATATGTATTAACATGTGATATACAATTATAGTGCGAATTTGTGTGTTTGAAGAAAAAAAGCTTGCTTTTTTTTTTTTTAGATCAGTGTGGTAGGGCATCTGTCTATATTAAGGAGGCCTTTGCCTTTCCTTCCTAGAGTAGCTTAAATGGAAGTATTCAGTGTTGCAGAAGAGAGAAGAGGTATTTTTAGAAAGAAAAAGAAGTCATAAAAGTATTTTATAGGAGGCTTTCCCATTTAGTGGCCAGGAGTGTTGTCTCTGAGTGCTCTTGAGAGAGAACAAATGCTGTTCAGCATTCTCTGGCAGAGTGTCACAAAGATTGAAATGTAGTGGGACAAATGTTACATGCCAGTGCTTTCTTTGACGTTCCTTACTGAGGCTGTTCAGCAAAGTATTGTTTCCATTATGTTCCTCATAAAGTTTTCACAATTTCTACATTTCTCTGGTATTAAAGAGTGGATATCATTTTTTCATTTCAGCTGTTTCAGGTACTTGCAGAGATTGACCACGCCACAGTGATACAGGTCTACTGCTCCTCTGCTATGTTGTGGTTTTGTATGATTTGCCTTCTGGCAAATAATGGTTTGCCAAGTACCACACTGTCTTTAGTGCAGCATAACACTAATGCTAGAAATATTTACAACTGTTAATCATTTTTCTTATAAAAGTTGCACGTTAGTTTTATGTAAAATTTGCAAGTTTTTTACTTCATTTTGCTACGCTTCAATATAAAATGAAACAGGCAAAGATATGCATGTTTGCCCCTCTGTGCTAATTACTGCAAGTGTTTGCAGTGTGCTGCAAGAGTAATCCTGTCTCTGGTCTGACTCCTAGAGAATAGTGCTGTTGTTATAGTCACATTTTAAGATAGTATCTGTATGTTACATAAGTAGTTTTTGTAAGCATACACGAGGAGAGAAATAGAGGCCTTCACAGTCTACATGATTTCATGTAGCTCTTATCAAAGATTATGTCAAATATGCTAAGTGCTGTTATCAAAAGTAACTTAAAATGTATTTAGAGGTCTTTTTAAACAGATACATTTCTTTTGAGTCCTTTTTTGTCTGCTGACTAGTGTCAAAGATTTAATTGCTGCTTGCTTTTGCTAGTTCTCAGGCCTGCAGAATTGAAATTGCCAGTGTTTCTTTTTCTAAAGGAAGCATCTATGACCTGTATACTTGCAGATTGCTAAGTGCAATGGAATGACATGGGCATTATCGAGGGTCTCATTGAGTTAGCTACAACTCAGCACTGTGTGAGAAAGACCCTAATTTCAGAACTGAGACTGACTGTAGCACTGGAATAAGAGAAAGGTGAAATCAACACACTTAAAACTTAACTCATTCAATGAGGCATCCTTAAAACAGAGCATTGGTTAACCTTTTCTCCTAGTTTACATTGAAAGTGTCAAGAACACTTTCTTGTTGGACTAAATCAATTTTTCTTAATGAAAAAAAAAAAAATTTACTTTGATTTTGAATTACCTTCTCTATATCTACCTGCAAGGCTTGCATGGTATTATTTTAACAGGCAATAGCATTCCTTTGTTTCTAATAGAACTAATTGTTTTCTTTTGTTTTTGCTTTCTTTCCCCTTTCAGGTAGCAAAGTCTGAAGGGAAGCAGGGGTTATCTGTTCTTTAATGAGTAAACTATGGAAAACAAAGTTAATAATTATACTGATGTGGCTACTGTGTATCTGACATAGGTCTATGGGTTACATGTTTTTGTCTTGAACATTCCAGTCATTTTGAGAATGTCATCCAGTATATACATTTAAAAATACTTTCTGGAAGTAGTTGCCTGAAGTACATTTCTTGTTTTTATAGTTATTGATTAGCAGGGCATATTTTCTCTAGTCAGCGAATGATCTGTTGCTCCACACAGAATGTCATTTCTAACTATCTGTTTTCTGGCATGTTTGCCAAGTCACTGTGGCAAAACTTAGTATAATTATCTAAAGTGTGTAGGCCTGCTTCTCCAGTGTGACTGGTAATCTTAATTATCCCAGTTTCAGAATACCTGATTTGAAACAATTGAAAGAGGACACCAGTTTTACAGCTCTGTGACTTTTTAAAAATTGGGCTCTTTTTCTATTCTGTCTAATTGTAATAGCAATGTTAATTACACAAATACATTTTCACAACAATTCTAAGAGAGACTTTGAACCTTGAGTTGCATTTAGGCTTAACTGTCATTCAAGGAAAAAAAGATCAGTGCTGTCAAATAGAGGAAATCTTCCTTCTAGATGATATTCAGAAACATTTTGCAGTGCTGTTAGTTAAAAAGTTGCATCCTCTATGCTTACAGATGTGATAAGGTAATAATTTACTAGAACTTATTTCAATGAAACAAAATCACTGAAGGGAAGAGAAAGGGATCTTATCTTTTAAAATTGCTTAGTGATGTGTAGAAACTCATTCCTGGAATCTGTAAGTTTTTTTCAGGTCACATTTATTCAGGCATGCTTTTTGCTTCACGAAGCTTCTGTTGCCTTGGTATTAGAACATACCAACTACGAACAGATTTGCTTTCCAGATCCATCAAACTTTCAGCCTCTGCAGTAAGTATTCTTTCAGCTTCATAGATAAAATTATTTCATGCCATATTTTAGAGAGGAACTAATTTTGCAATGTTGCCAATATATATGCATTAGCTGTGTTTTTTTTTTTATTTCTTGTTACATTGATCCAAACATTTAATATCAAGAATAAAGTAAGATATTTGAATCAATCAAATATATAACCACACTAGCATAACAGAATTTGTCAATTATTGCTTTGTGTAGCCTTTCCAGTCTTTAAAGTCACTTCTAGCACATATCAGGCCAGAAAGATTGTCCAGTTGTTAGGGCACTAGAGCTTGAGATGCAGGTTCAGTCTCACAGACTTTTGATAAGATAATTTATTCGTATCTCAGGTTTTTTTTATTGAAATGAGAGTAGTAGTGCTTCTTGATGCTACAAAACCAGAGTATATAAAGTTCTTCAAACTGTTTTTTATACAGAATTTTCTCAACTTCCCAGTTTAACAGCTTATAAGATTGTGTAACTTCATTTTAAGTCTTCCAGTTTTGCTGAGAGAAAATAGAGCTTTGCAACATGGTAGGTGGTTAGAGGTCACACTCTGCATTGCATATAGAACCCTGGAATGTAAATTGTGTTCCCAGGTCAGAACAGTTCATCTAGTCAGCAGCTTGGGTCAACCAAGGCACATGTCAGATCCTTCAAAACAGATGTTCAAACCATTATACTGGACAGTTGTAGCATATTTTGCCCATATGAGAAGTTTCTTTTAGCATGTAAACCACTTTGAAGGTCAGCTTTTGCCTGAGTCAGATTTTCATATGCTGTATTTGTATTCTATTTAATGGAGTTGGATGATCTCACTAAAAGTGCTGAAATCTAATCCTTTTTTTTTTTTTAATTTTCTTAAGATCTGGGCTTCAGTTGTAGCTTTTGACATTGAATTCCACAATTTAATTGTGCATCATGTAAAAGTATTTGCTTCTATCATTGTTAAACATATTGCCATTCAATTTAATCAGAAGTTTCTTTGTATTAGGAAGAAAGATAAATAGGAGCAGCACCTGACTTTGTCAGGTGCTTTCCCTGATAGAAAGTGTTAGGGAATATAGGAGGTCAGAGTTAGATGAAGACATACCTCTCCTGCTTAACACTGATCTTAAACTCATAGAAATCCTAGCCCTACACCTAGAAATGGCTTGAAGGTTATCAAGTGATGATAAAACTAGGCTAAAATGAGTCTTAAGAATTCTTATGACTTTCTTGGAGAAAGAATGCAACTTAAGGTATCATTTTAAATGTCAGCTAATTGGTTGGACCTGAATCTCACTGTAAACTGAATATGAAAACTAATCCAGGTCCAGCTATTTGGTTTTAAAACTATTTTCAAGGCACAAGAAAAAATAAATAGGAAGACTTGAATTATTAAATATTTAAACTTAAAATAGTATGAGTGTTGTAAGGTGAAGTCTTATTTTACTTGTAAACTTTTAGCTAGGAAAAGTTATGTAATGCAATTAAGATTTACATTATAGTTAATAAAAGTCCTGTAGTTGATAAGCCTTTGACTTTTAGCGAATTGAAACAATTTCAGGAAGAGCTGGTCAATGGAACCAATTTACCTATGGCAGCATACAGAATTCTCATTATTAACTGGAAGGATTCAAGGTGAGACTTCTTGTTCCTTGTAGTACGAGAAGTATGCTAGCATGTGAAAAGAGATGTGTGTGTGTGGCTCAGTCTAAGTAGTATCTCTGTTATTGTATTTATATAGTACAGCCAAACATGAATGATATTTACCAAGACATACACTTAAATTGGATTCATCTAAACCATATGTATGTTTTTAAATAGATATAGTACAGATTACCTAGTCAGTATTCCCTCTTAACTCCCTCTTGTTCTGTGTGAAGAAGTACAACTTCACCTGTCTAGTTATCTTAATGGTTTTCTTCCTTATGACAAATAAAAGGTGTCCTGTGCTTGATTCCTCTGGTGTTTGTGTTTCATAGATGAGGTCAGAATCAGGTCTGTAGAAGAAGACATATGAGCAGAGAAGTAGCTGTCTAATTTTATAGCTTCCTGTTCATCAAATCACTCTGTGTATGGTAGCTTCATTACTGTAAACAGCTTGAGTGCAAACATGCCTGCATAATATTTCTCCTATGAGTTATTCCCATTGATTCAAAGTTGAAACTTGGAGTTTAATGGTAATGTAGACGTGTTCTTTTCAGAGTATGGTAGCTAGACAATGGTTTTTGAATCTTTCAGACAATAACAATAGTTAGCAGTGGTAAAAGTCACTAAAATCAATAGTCTGACAAAAAACAGGAGGGGCTGAAGTACTGACAGACTACGTAATTCCAATGTAATTTTTTCCAGTATCAAGCTGGTTTACAAAGATAGAAATGGGCTTGCACTTTTTTTTGTTTGCACATAGAAATAAATCTGGTTTTGGGTCCGTCCGTGTCCCTGTCGTGTGTCATCCCCTCCCCCCCGCTTCTTTTCTCTTTTGAATTTAAAACCACCACAATTATCAATAAGTTTTTCTATGCCTTTATAGAGAGTACTCATTGAAAGTCTATCCTAAAGCAGTTTTCCAAGACCTTAAGTGGAGGTCTGAATATACAGCAAAAACATGTTCTAATGTGGTTTTGCTGTGCTGTAAGTAAATACTTCAAAGTTTTAAAAGTCTGAATGAAATAGGAAATGTCTTTTCTATTTTCCTCTTACCCATCAATTTCACAGATAAAATTACATCAAAAATGCACTCTTTCCAAACTGGTTTGAGCAGGAACTGAGCTAGAAATAACAGTCTTTAAGTTGTTAGTGTATCATAGAAAAGAAAAAGAATGTATGTACCCTATTTTTTCTTTTTAGGTCATCTTTTAAAGCTATTGAGCTAAATTATGCCTCTGCTCCATCCTTGCTGAAAGTTCAGTGGCTTTAGATAATGATGAATGAGAATTTAGGACATTTTTGTATATTTTCTTGTTAGTCTGAATTCAAGCTATTATAGAAGCATTAATGAAAGAACATGTCTATAATTTTGTATAACTACTGAATTCAGCTGGCAATGGTATATTTGAGAAAGCACGAAGGAGGGTTTGTCATGCAGAATCCAACAATATAGTACTTTGTCTTTCTTAACAAAAACCTTCTGTCTGTGTATTTGGATCTTGCAGACAATGACCTTCAGACACAAAAACACAAGACGAATTGAAGGCCTTGATAGTAATGTGTGGTAAGTACATGAAAATATCTGCAAATTTTAGAAAATGTCTTTGGCTGATGTATTTTCTTTCCAGATTGATAGTTATTTCCAGTAAGAAGGTACATAGCAATTTCTATCTTTGCTGAAATATATTCAGTACCTGCTTAGAAGCAGTGAATCAAATTCTATTAAAGGTGTGAATTAATTCTTATTCTTGAGCTTTAAATGTTAGGCTTGGGCTTGTCTTTGTCTAGTAAAACATGCAAGACAATTATAACTCTTCGGCATGGTAGTATAGCTGACTTTCAAATTTAAATGTTATTTTTGTTGAATAATATATTTGAGTTACACTTGATTTGTGTTTACCAGATCAGTCGATTTCTTTTTAAAGCCATTATACTTGTCTTTATAATTTAGCTAATTATTTTTAATACACTTCTTTCTAGGTATTAAATTGGTCTTAAAGCAGTATTATCAGTGGTAAATATGGGATATTTTTTGGTCAGTAAAAACACTATTTTGGGCTTGAATTAGATGTATGTATATATTTGTGTCTATATATATGCACAAGGTGTTTTGGTCATCCAGCCTCAAACTCATTTTTAGCAATTTTTATTAATTTTTGACAGAACTGTGATGCTATGTGGGTTTTTTTTTTTGTTTGATGCTTTGTTTGGATAACATTTAGATAGGGAGGAAAGGGTAAAGTGCAAAGCTTACCTGTGAAGGGAGGAAAAAAAGGTTGTTCAAGAATCCTAACGTTTGTATCTGGCAGGCTACTAGGAACAGTTAATGAACAGCCTGAAACAGCCGTCTGTTGCCTAAAATTACAAAAAAAAAAAAAAAAGCACACTGAGGTGACTGAATAGTTTAAATGACATCTTCACTTGACAGAATCTAGCCTTTAAATCATTCAATGTGCCTGTTCTAATTAGGACTACTTCATTTTGCAAAGAGAGTAGTGTTCCATTTCTGCCCATATCCAGAGTTACCGTGTATGCATGTGTACCTCTGAGCACAGTTCTGCTGACAGAAAAGCTATTCTCTGGATGCGGAAAGTCAGCCTGTTACTGGGTTCCCTCTGACTCCTGTGGTTACTTACCATTGTCTCAGCCTCATCTCTTCATGTGAGCACTCTGCTTAAACCTGTTTCCACTGCTATGAATTTGTCAAAGTAAAATACTTTTTTTTTTTGCCTTTTAAGGCTAATGAAGGAAAAGATAATTTTATCTGGTATGTTAACTTTAAGGTGTTTTTTTCCCTTTAGGGTTGAATTTACAAAGGTGGCAGCAGATCCCTCGATTGTTAATCTTGGTCAAGGCCTTCCTGATATATCCCCTCCAGACTATGTTAAAGAAGAGCTGGCAAAGGCAGCAGCAGTTGACAGACTGAACCAGTACACACGAGGCTTTGTAAGTAGTGTGGAGCTTGAGGACCCAAGCAGTGGAGAATATGCCACAGGGGAAAACTGACTTTGATTTAAATTGGTTTTATCTGTAGGTCATACTGTTATGTCTGAAATTAAGTTGATCTGTAGCCTTATCTGTTACTAGTGATCATCCTCTGTGTAGGCTTCTTCAAGGCAGACTCCTTCAGCAAGAGCAAAATTGTAGAGCACATCCGGCATAGATTATCTTTGAAGACTCAAGTCATAGTTTAAATAGTGTAAATTATACATTTACCTCTGATTTTGGTCAGTGTAAACATGAACCAGACATGATAATGGTAGAATGAGAAAGAAATACTTGACACCACTTAAGACAGTGCTTCTAGGATCAAGAAAAGATTCACCCATAACATCTAGCAGATTTCAGTGGAGATTAGGAAGTGATTATTTTTGCCCCTAGAAGATAGTCAGTACCGATTCTGTAAGTTGGCTTGTGGAGTTTGTTCTGAGTTGGGTGTGAGTGTGTGGCATTTACCATTGCCCAAGGCAGGATATTCAAGTGGACTATTACTGTTTTAGTATGACCAGTTCCTTGTTTGGTTTGTCTTTCTTTTATTTTGTGGTAAAGATAAACCATATTGCCCAACTGCAAATCATGTGTCAGGATTGCTACAGGACCCCAAGGAGTCTATCTAATACTTTTCTAGATGACCACATTAGGCAACAGTGATAGAAAAGCATTGTATAGACAGACTAGTAGGTCAGTAATTGTGTTGGTAGTTGGGACATCATTGTGTATACCTTCCAACATAACTTTTTGCCTGTTCTCTGAGAATCTGCATGCATTAGAACTATCAGGGAACAGCGGTGGCCTGCAGCTCCCTAAAGGACAAGCTATTACAGCAAGCAGAGTGGAGGCCTCAGCAGCCTGGACCCAGTCCCATAGTACCTGAGCAAGGCAGGCCCAGACACCGTGACTGAGGTCAGCCCACATCCCTAGGCAAGCTCACGGGGGTGAGCTAAGCCTGAGGTCAAGCCAGGAAGTCAGTGAATAGGTCAGGCCTGGCAATGCTATCCACAGTTAGACATAACCCAGTGATCACTGGGCAGGTCCAGGGTGCCACAGCAGGTCTAAGGTCAAGCTGTAAAAATCAATCTACAGGTAGAGGCCACATTTAACAGGGTTTATGGTTAGGTCCAGGCATGGCTGTAACTGAATTGTAGACCAGCAACCCTACTGCATAGCACTTAAATGGACCCCCTGGACCAGAGGTAGAGCTCTGGGTAGGGGCCCCAGGTGAGGCTAGTCAGGGCCATTAAGGCCTATTAGGTCACTCAGGGCCCTGGCAAGAACAGAAAGAAAATTTAAAAAAAAAATCCCCAATGACTCTCGTCTCATTCTATCCCTCTTTGGGTCATTTTGTTTAATCACTTTTAGCTGTGTGCAAAGACTCTGCAAGTATGAGATTATATATGTATAGATATATAAAAACCTCTCTCAATAATATATATTAACTTGAAAGTATAAAGCAATTATTTTGTCAGACACACACACACAAGATGGCTGGGATTTAGTGAACTTCTTAGGTAAGCATTAGCATGTTCATCACCCACAATAAGGTACCTGAAAAGTCTTTGCTTACCAGGCAGATGAAGTTTTGGAGGAGCCTTGGCACATGGGGAAAGGTTACAGAGAGAATGGGCTACAGTCTACCTTCTGACAGATATTCACAGACTGATTCTCACATAAATATAGTTTTCCCAATGCATGTATTCTACTGTAAGTAGTAACTAAAGAGGAATTTTTACCAATATTCCCATCCTCAGACTTTGTACTTCCTCTACAAACTTCTGCACTTCTAAGGTTTTTGAGCACAAGTATTTGTGGTAGCAAGTATGGGAGGGACGATTCTGAGTGATACACATCCATCCAATAATTGAGACGTCGTCTTGGTTCTCTGTGGTGCTTGGGCTTCTCACTGACTGTAGGACTATGGCCTCTAGAGTGGCCTAACGTGACTTGGGTGGTGCAGCATTCCTGGGTAGTTGACACACTCATGGCAAGAAATGGCTGTCATTTGAATCAACAATGATGTAAGCCTTAATTTATGCTAATGTTTTTGTTTACACAAGGGTTCATTATTTTTATGCCTTGTGCGTAGGGGTACAATGTTTGATATTTTAGAGAAGGATTTTTGTTATATAGTTACGTTGCTCAAGGAGCAGTTCTCTATTTCTACCAAGTATCCAAAGTGAAAGAAGATTTTCACAGCAGAAAACCTATAGTCTTCCTGAGTAAACAGAATTGTGCCTCCTTATTTCCATATTGTATATGATCTTTGTTGCATGTTTGTTTTCGTGTTGTTTGTACATTTTGAGAGGAGTATGTTAACCACCATGTTCCTGTAGGGGACACAAATGATGAATGGTGCTCTGAGATTTGAGATATAACTATATGAATCATCATTCTGATCACAAGTGCTGTTTATCGGCATTATATAAACAGAATAAAAAGATTTCCCTTGCACCAAATAATTTTTAGTTGAAAGATAAGGAAGGAAACAGAAGGAGCTTCAGACAGAGATATGGGCAGGTGGGAAAGAGACTCTAAAGGAGGTGAAGATGAATTGGTATCAGAGTATTCCTTTCTCCCTGTCTCTTGTCCTAGCTCTCCTGTAAGCTACCTGGAGCTATTCTGAGATGTGATAATAAGATAGAAATTAAAAAAGCATCAGATACACAAAAATAATTTCCTAGTAGATATGAATAAATTGAAACCACTTTTCTTCCCTAATGTGGAAAAACTTTAAACCATGCTACCTGTCAACAGCCATTAACACTGAGGGCTCATCTTGTATTTTTCTATTTCAAAATGTATTATATTGATATATGTGGAAAAAAACCCCAAACAGGCATTGTACGTTGTCAGGAACACACCAATCAGTTGCATTTGTTTGCTTTGAACAGGGACATCCGTCACTGGTGAAAGCCTTGTCTCAAGTGTACGAGAGAGTTTGTGGAAGAAAGATTGATCCTTTCACAGATATCCTGGTGACTGTGGGAGCTTATGGGTCTCTCTTTAGTACAATACAAGCGTTAATTGAAGAAGGAGACGAAGTAAGATTTTATTTGAAATATTCAAATACTGAAATATTTGGGGGGGGATATCTGTATCCGTAGTAGACATGAACTTTTTGTGTTTTCATGCATTTTGCTTTCAGTGTTTTGTTGGTTTTGCTTATATAATGTATTCTCATCTGTATCTTTTTTTCCTTTTCTGTTGCTCCAATATTCACTTCTCTCTTTTTGTAACAGTTCTCTGCTATTAGCCTTTGGGTTTGGTTTTTGTGATTTTTTTTCCCCCTATTGTCTAGCCTCTATGCAATTTTTCTTGAATTTGTCTTTTTTTCTACCTGAAAATTTTCTTCTGATAAAATTTGAGGACTTAAGTTGTACTTCTGAGATTTGTAGGTACTTGGAAATCCTGGAATTTCTTGAACAGAATTAGGGTAGCTGTACTGTGGTTCAACAATTTGCTGTTGCTATCTCCCATCTTTGCATCTTTGTCTTGAGCTTTCATATATGTGTGCAGGACCCAAACATTCTAATATTATATCTTAATAGTTGTAATGCGTAACTGTAGAAGAACAGTCCGTGTGTGTTTTCAAAAATGAGTAGTGCTTATCATACTTAGACAGAGGACATTGTTATATGATGCTCTAAAAAGAGGAATATTCTGCAATGTTAGATCAGGAAGGAGTGCCAGAAACATTATCAAGTTATACCACCAAAGTAAGTCTGGAAATATGATGGTATCTTGCACAGTAAATTCTCTGCTTCTGATACTGATGATTGTAATTTCAGGTAATAATAATAGAGCCGTTTTATGACTGTTATGAACCAATGGTAAAGATGGCGGGTGCAAAGCCCGTTTTTATCCCACTGAGATATGTGAGTAGCTTTTTATTTATCTCATAAAATTTCTCATCCATACTCAATACAGTTTGAACACCTTCTAGGCGATGCTTTTCTGTACAATTTTTCATAATATCCAATTATAAAAAAATGAGATAGATTGCTATAGTGTAAGTCTAAGATAATGATAATCCAAAGCAGATAGAATATTTTATTAGTGTTCGAGAAGGTCAGACAATGTTTCTCATTTACTTTCATTTGTGCATTCTGAAAGCTGATCAAAATTTCTTTTTTGGATGTCATCAGAGAATGTTTTCAGTGAAGTAAAGGAATGAGGATCACATATCAGTGCAATTTCTGTATTTGCTGGTTTTCAAAAGATTTGGTTTCTGATCCCTTCAGCAACTCCTACAATGACAGAATAAATTTTCTTTTTCAGAATCTGCTTACTAAATAAGGAGCTATCAGGCAGTAGACATATTTGCTATACATATGAGAATTACTGTTTCCTTTATTGGTAAAAAAGAATAATTTTGGTATGGGGTAATTTTCAGATTGGTACTGCTGGCATTATGCTGGCAGCTTGCAAGGATTATTCTGGATGCAATTGATCCTGTTACCGTTGCCTTGGGTGACTGGCAGCCTTGCATGGGGAAGGCTGAGGGGCTCTTTAGGCAGAACTGTTGCACAAGCATCATGAAATCAGAAAAACAGAGTGACAAAACCTCTGGGACTGCAGTGGGGGTAGATGAGACTGTTCCTCTGGGTGCCCTCCTTCTAGGGATGTTTTCAGTGATGGGTTTCTCCAAGTATTTTCTGTTTCATACCCTTGGTTTTGGTCTGTCACTCTCCTCATAATGTGCAGGTGTCAGCAAGTTAGTGTGACCATGCTCTTTGTTCTTTGTAGCAATTGGCCCAAACTTCTGTTGTTGGTGTGTAATACCACAGCAACTCCAGAGCCTCAGTGGTGCAGATTTTTAACTGTTTGACCATTTTCATATGGACAAGGAGGAAGAAAACTTGAATCTCTCCAGTGGTGATCAATATTTCCAGCCAAGCATGCACACACTTGTAGTGTCTGAGAAGGCCGTAAACTCTCCTGTCATGTGACGGGGCTTCCTGCATTGCACAATGTTATAATCAGCATGTGGGAAACCAGATCCTGGAAACCAATTCCTGGGGAAGCTTTAAGACAGACAGTGGCCAGGAGAGGACAGCCACTGTCATAATAATCTAACTTGCTCTTAGTCTCCCTGCCTGTTCCTAGAAGTGCCTTTTCCCAGGAGAGCAGGACAGATTGGATAGGTTGTCAAGTATGGTTATGAAAGTGTCTGAGGGTGATATGTTGTGCATCTCAGTTTAGGCTGTAATATGTTGTATTCAAGTAATGCATAAATTTGTTGTGTTGATTTTTAGAAAAATGATGGAAACTCTGCATCTAGTGCTGATTGGGTCTTAGATCCTGCTGAACTTGCAAATAAATTTAATTCCAAAACAAAAGCAATTATTTTGAATACCCCGCACAACCCTATAGGCAAGGTAAGAGTCTGCTTTAACACTACTGTAATTTCATAGTATGCCTTAAATACTATGATTAATGCATTGTCCCTTCCTTGTATCCCAGGTATTTAACAGAGAAGAGCTCCAAGTAATAGCTGATCTCTGTATTAAACATGATACCCTGTGCATCAGCGATGAGGTGTATGAATGGCTGGTGTATAAAGGAAATAAACACATTAAAATAGGTACTGATTTTTTGTGGCATCTTAGAAATGGTTGTGGAATGATATTGTAAACATGCCTCTCAAAGATAACGGTTGCTGGAAGGAGCTCAGATGTCAAGATTTAACTATTTTACAATGTTTATACTCTTAAGAAGGAGACCCCCTTTCTCTTATGAAAAATATTTTAAAGAGTAATTTCCAAATAGAGTTTCCAAAAACTCCTTAGTAACTTTGGACCAGATATCCATATAAACTAGTGGGACTGATGTCAATAAATCAGTTATGTTCATCTGAATATCCCGTCCTTATTCAATTACTTTGTTGACCATGACAAATATAACTGCTATTCTTGTATGTATATGGGACTGTGCTTTAATGAAGAACTAATAGAAGGAACATGGATTAAAACTTCCTTCTCAAAGCACTGTAGAGATAATCAATGAAGAAAATGCATAATGTGGAACACAGTTATTTTTGCTCCACTACTTATAAAAAGAAAACAAAAAAAAGTGTAAAGGTTGATGTGGAGATAGTGCATGAACACTGTCCCTCCAAAGTGCAGAGACATTGTTGAATAATGGTCGTTGAATTCAGTGAAGTAAGTCACTTCATGGGCAGTGAGAAAGCACGCTCAAGTCACAGGGGTAAAGCACCATTACAAGAACAAACCAGAAAACCGATTAGGATCTTATGTTCCTGTCCCTCTTGTTTTACTTCTTCATCCAAGTTTCACTGAAGTTAGTGGAATCACTCCCACTGTCTTAGAACAAGTGAATATAGTGCAGGTTACTGAACTCCTTCCCCAATCTTATAATGCTACAGCTAAGCATTTATGTAAAAGTTTCTAGTATGGTGGTCTTGGTTTGGATCTGCTGATGTATTTGAGCTGGCTAAAGTCCAAAACTTCCTTCTTGCATGTACAGATGTTTTGTTTCTGATGCATGTTCATCTTGCATGAGGTATCTGTTGTGATATTGTCATAATGAAGGTACATTTCAGTTGTGTGCAACAGAGACATCTAGTTGAGATTAAACAGTGAAATCAAGAGACATAAATACACAGACATGAAAAAGCTTAGCTTTTTTTCCTGGTTCTACAGCTGGTTGAACACTGAATAACTGCTTCTACACTTCAATTCCATATATGTAGAGTGGCAATACAAGAAACTTTCCATTAGTGGGGGCTACATCACTGTAAAAACTGAATCTTATAAATAATAAAAAAGAAATTATATCTAAATAGCCTTGCAATACTTACTAGCTCAGTACACAGTTGCTGATCATACAGGTGATTGTACTGGCCACACATAGGCTATGAGTCTGTTTTGAAAGTAGCCTAATTTCATGGCTGTTGTGGTGCCTTGATAGTGACACCTTCTCGGAGACCTTCAGACATAGAAGAAGGGGAACGTTTTGGGTACATTCATGTGATAGTAATCTGAGTTAGTGCATTTTAACAAGTTACCACAGTAACTGATCATGTGTGGCTTATCGTGTCCCAATTGCAAAGTAAAATGAGTTAAATTAATGCCTTCTTCATGGCTTAGCAGGTGGATCATGCAAATAGCCATCCTCTGAATGAAAATCTCTGTGGGCGGTGTAAGGTAATCCACTGTCCTTTGCCATGGGAGCAGGTCAGAACACTCATGTTGTCAGTTACATTTTGTCTTAGTGGACAGGTGGTGAATTCTTAAGACACAGTAACTCTATTGATTGTTAGTGTCGGTATTGTCATTTTAATGTTTCAAACCAAAATATTTCCAGCTGAACAAAAAGCATTCTCTAGTCTAGCCTAAAATGTAAAAATATTGTTTGATGATAATGCAAGTTAAAGCTTGGACAGTTAGCTAGGTTTAGGTATATATTATCTAACAGATCCCATGATATCACCTTTAGTGTTAAAATGACTATAAAACAAACCTTCAGGGTAACACTATAAGCAATGGCATTATTTCAGTAAAAGAAACCAGGTCTGCTCATTTTAACTTAAGTTTCTTAGACTACTTTTTTTTTAAGTATACAAAAGATAATACAAGAAGAAAAAAAGAATGTTATTTTACTATTTAAAACCTCTTGTGTTTCCATATTAACCTCTACATATTCCATCAAATGCAATGATACTTTTTGAGAGATGAAACATGGATGTTGCATAAATTTACAGGGTCTGATGGTGGTTCCTTGATACAATTTAACAGGGGTTGCTAGCCACAGATCATAAAATTAGTACCCTCTTTGTGCTATCACTGAAGTAGTTTTATGTAGTATAGAGCACTCCATCATGTTTCTCATCATTATCTGACTTCCTTAAAACCATGGACCTCCTCTAAGTAGTGATTAGGGTTGCACTGGCAGATTTAGAGATTGCATCTCATAACTGAGAATTCTGAATGAGCCTCTCAACAAGCTGAGTGCTATCCCAGGTAAGAGGCTTATTATATGTGTTAGCTTGCACTTCATTAGTTTTTAAATTGTAGTCAGACTTGGTTATGGTGTCATATAATGATGTTGCCATATGGCACAGAGGATTTTCCCTATTTAAAACTTGCTGCTTGTAAAAGCAATGGAGCTGCTTCTTCCACTGTGCCCCTTTGCGGCTGCTATGGTTTGAAATGCTGTTACATTCTATCTCCAAGGTCAAATACCTATGACTGTGTGGCAAAACAGTCTCTCTAGAGGCCATTAGCTTTGAAATTCCATTCTTTTTGCAGTCCGTGAGAGATAGTTTGGTTGTCTTTAGGAAGTGATCTATACTCTTAACCTAGCTAGCTAGAAGATGCATCTGTTCAGCTGCCTTTTTGTTTTCAGGGTCACAGCAGTTGAGTGAATATGGGTGGGCGAATAGAAATACGAGTTTCTTTCCTGCTGGCTTGTTTCTTTTCTTGGCAAGTGTGCTCAAAAAAATATAATACATGTTTTCAAGTAACTGCAAAGGCTTATACCATATCTAATGCGGATAACTGCTGCAAAAACTTCCTTATGAAATGCCGTGGTTTTATTTGGAAAAAACTTTGGTTTCCCCAGAGAGGGGATTTAACAATTGACAGATTCATTGGTAGTGGTTCTCATGTACAAATGAGGTGGAGCTGGATGTTGTTGACCACTGTAATTTCAGTAGTGATATAACCTTGTCTTTCTTTGTGTCTCAGACTTAAGTGTGTTTTGATTTATCTGTTTCTGTTGAAAAGGAATTAAGTTAAAGAGTCCAAATAGAGCTCCCTTGAAGCAGTGTACAGAAAAAAATTTGCAAACTATAGGAAGAGACCTTTGCTCTGTCTCTCCTTGGAAAGGAAACAAGGAATTTTGGTTTCCTACCAGATACACAGATAGGCCTGCATGCATCCCTTAATCTCTGGAGAGATCCTTAGCTAGCCGCTATTGTCAGTCAGTCCCAGGCATGTTCAAGTTATATAACAAAACAATTTATTTACTCACTCTGCTAGTTTTCTGATTCTTATGGTGTTTGGTTCTGGGTTAGAAGTCTTAGTAATTCTTTTCTTTCTCTGATGTCCGAGATGGCCAGTGACACTGAACTGGACAATTCTATTAAAACGGCTTGCAGTGCGTGAGTTAATGTTGTATATGGTGCTATTATCAGGCATCAGAAATAATGCTGTCTTGAGATGAATGGGTAGCCACTTCTCAGATTGTATCTTTCTTATGAATAATTATGCATTTTAGCTGAGGATAGCTAACATGTACTTCTCACAAACTATGCCTTTCATTTTCTGCCTCTTCATTCTCCTTTTATTAATCCTTATGTTCTTTTCATGCCAAAAAGCACTGGCCCATATATCCCTTCTCATTTGTTACAATTGCTATGAATTTAGAATATTCTTGTTGCTTGCTTAATATGCTGCAGTGATATATCAACATATAGCTCTGAACTAGGGGCAGTACGGTTGTTCTAACTGCATGGAATTATGTGAGCGCACCTGTACTCAATTAATTTTATTTTATATACAGCTACGTTGCCAGGTATGTGGGAAAGAACAGTAACTATAGGAAGTGCTGGAAAAACATATAGTGTAACTGGCTGGAAGGTAAGAAGAATTAATATAAAAGAGTGCAGTTATTTATATAATAGAATGCATTTATTACACTGAAAAAGTCTCTGTTTTTATGACCTGTCTTCTGGCAAATCTCAGTGTCTCCAAAACATGAAAAATAGCTTTCAGTTTTACCTGTCTTGAACACTCGTGTTTTAATTATCTTCTTGCTCTTGATTAATAAGCTCATGTGAGAAAACAATACTAAAAAAATAAACATAGTATGATTTGTTCAAAACTAGTCAAGATTCTTGGAGAAAATATGGATATTATCATACTTCAACTTTCCAGTTTTGTGGTGATATTTTCAGATTGTGATAATGGTATGATTTGGAATGGCTTATATTTCTGTAAAATATTTAATGACAATATTTTGCTTGGCTTTAAAATACCTATCAGAAAGTAAACAAAAATATTTAACAGTTTGTCAGTGAAATTCTTTCTTCTTCATCACCTGTGTTCAAACTGAACTGACACATACAATTCAGTAGTGAGCTTTTGACACAAACCACCTTTGACAGAGACTTGAGATGAATAGATTCTAAAACAATTAGAAATAACATTCCTAATAAATGCTTAGTTTGATTAATAAACTTGGTTATATGAAAAGTTAAAAGTATGCTCAGTACCCTATGAGAGATAGGGATCTAGACTTTTTTAAATGGCATCATTCAGCAAACTTTGTGTAAACCAGTTCTTTTCTTAATTCTTTATCAATTCACTAGAAATTCACTACCAATTCTTAAAATAGAAAACTTGAGACATTGGCTAATTTTAATTCTTTGTTAATTTTTAGTAACACCGCTGCTGTAAGTATAACATATGCATGCTTTCTTCCCTTAGCTTGGTTGGTCTATTGGCCCCCAGAACCTGATCAAGCATTTGCAAGTTGTTCACCAAAATACACTGTACACTTGCCCAACTCCATTACAGGTAGGTATAGATGGAGCAGAGGAAGTTATTTTCTGGTGTAGGAGAACTGTAGGCCTCACTGTAATAAAACAACAATCACAACAATGAATTTTTAGTTGTCAAAATATATATTATGGGGTGCAAGAAGAGGAGACAGGTTTGATCAGCTCACCAGGTATTTAAAAAACCAAAAATCAGTCTTGCAGATTCTTTCTTCTTTCATCTACAAACTGCTGTTTCTTGTATAAAATATGAAAATCTTAGTGGTTTCCTAGCAAATACAAATAAAAGTTGCTGCAATAAGGTCTTGCTTTACTGAGCATTATCTCTGTCTACTAGTTTATATTATCCATGATACGTTATTATCAGTAATTTAAACGTAGCTTCAATTCAGATTTTAAACACTTGTTTCAAGGACTGTGACTTCTATATATGATTAATGCCTAGCAAATGATTGGATGCTTTGGGGTTGTCACAGCACAAAGTAACAAACAGATTACACACTTGGACATTCCTTGTGTAATTTTTATATGCCAGTTTGCTTAATAAGGGCCAGAATTGAAGAAAAATCCATGTGATTTCATAGGAAGTGTGTGTCTGTGAGTTTACTGAGTGTCCGTGAGTACTTTGAACATTGATTATGTTTCCAGGAGGCTTTGGCACAAGCATTTGGGATAGACTATAAACGCATGGATGACCCAGACTGCTATTTTTACTCGCTGTCTCGAGAGCTGGAAAGCAAGCGTGATCGGATGGCTCAGCTACTTCAAGAAGCTGGACTGAAGCCTGTCATTCCCGATGGAGGATACTTTATGATTGTTGATGTTTCTACATTAAGTTAGTATATAATATTTATTTAAAAGGATGTGAAAAGCAAATATTAGAGTTAATCTGAAAATGCAACTTTCATTTTAAAAGATATTCTCATTTCATGTTTGCATAATGTTGTCAGAAGTACTTACTGGGACTGAAATTTTCTGTTTGACCTTAGCCTGGGAGACAGATCTTATTAGCTGCAGCAAAGCCTTTGTTTGTGATCCTAACTACTGTCCGTGTTTTACAAAGCTTTGACACGGTTTTAGGGAGGATAAAGGATGTGAATAAAAATTTCTATTTTCAAAAGGTCTATGAGTATGAAAAAGTCTGAGAGCCAAGCACCTGGCTTAATATCCTGGGTTCATACCATTTGTACTTTCCCCTTTCTATTTTGTTGGTTTGTTGGGTTTTTTTTTGTTTTTTTTTTTTAATCTGAAGTGATACCATGAAGGCTCTTTGAGGCATTCTGATTTCTAAACACTGTAAAATACTACAAAGATTTACCAAACCTTTTGAAAATTCAGGTTCTGGTAACTTTGGAGGAAGAATTCCCATGGGAATATTTTGTAGTTCCCCATTTTTCACTAACTGGTCCTAATGGCACTTGTCATTTGCACAGAAATGTTTAAACACAGCTGGACCTTGCAGTGCTACTGTGCTTCAGAAAGTTTTAGATACCACAGTTTCACAGATGAGAAAACTGCAGTTGCAGTGATTATTGCTATCCATGCAGTAAATGCACTCTTTTGTAGCCTCCACAGTCCTGATCCCTTAATAACCCAGACTTGAGGACTCAGGAGTACTGCATGGCTTTCTTCCAAGGTACATTTGCTTTGAATGGAAAGAAAGTGCTTAGGTCAGAATGGAAAGTTTCAATCTGTTGGCCTATTTTAATTGTTATAGTATAATGTTTTCATTATATTTTAAAATAAAAGCATACATATTTATTCTTAAATATTAACTATAATAAAGTGCTGTTAATTAAGTGCTGCCTTCCCAATGGAGTCTAGGAAATTCTACATGTTTGGTTTAAATTTATTTTTTTTAGATGTGGATCTCTCTGATGTAGATGAGAAACAACCATATGATTATAAATTTGTCAGATGGATGATAACATCTAAGGTAGGGTGTCTTAGTCATACTCCAGTTTTAGAAATGCTTTTCTATTGAAATCAAGAGCAGTGCAACTGTGCTTATTAAATAACACAGTAGAGATATTCCATTAAAAATATTATTGGTGTTTATAGTAACTGCTGATAATGTTGTGGCTAAAATACTGCTAAATATGCTGAGAAGGTATCCTGTAGATTTGTGTTAGGGCCCAGCACTTTTCTTTCAGCATGCTTAAATGCTAGTTGTACAAAAGTACCTTTGAAATGTTTTACCTAAGAAAAGTAGTTTGAATTTAGTTAAGCCTAGCTAGGGCATACAAAACCAAATCTTATCTTTCTCTCACATGTTGGGAGGGAGAGTTCTAGAAATGGAATAGTAAAATCATCACGCTTAAACCAGATTTTTTTATACATATGTAAAATAAATAATATTTCTGTTTTATATTTCAGAAGCTGTCAGCAATTCCTCTTTCAGCATTCTGTGGTCCTGAGACAAAAAGGCAGTTTGAAAAATATATACGTTTTTGCTTCATTAAGGTAAATTTGTGTCCTGGGCAGACTTAAGACTCCTAAAAACCAGTGCAGTATGGAAATCTGCAAGAGACTGATACATTTTGCCCAGGTTCTCCTGAGTTGGATGGTTTAGTAAACAGAAAGTTAGCTTGATGTAAAATTCAGCATGAAGTAACTTCAACCGTCATTTTGCTGAGGGACTTTAAACCATAAATGTAGGTGGCATGGCAAAGAAGGGCAACTGGCAGAAAACAACTGGGCGGGGAGGCCTTTTTAGCTTACTCTATTGATTTTTAAAAACATTCTTGACCAGTGGTGAAAATGAATGACACAGTACGTTATCAGTTAAGGTGAATTCTATAATCCAGAGCAGAGAATAATTGTATAGCAAGGTGGTATACCCCATGCCCATACAGTTTCCAACAGCAAAACCAGTGAAGTGGTCACCTTCAAATTCAGCCCACTTACCTGAAAATATGTAGGGTTTCACACAAGTTCCAAACTACAAAAGAAGACAAAGACACGGGAAGTTTTCTTACCTGTTTCTTTTTTGTAAATTGACTGGCTGCCATTTTGTGAGCATCTCCTTTTTGTGTATTCTTCCTCCTGCTGAATCTGTTCTTGAAAAGACTGAAAGACTTTGGGGACAGGTACATGGGCTTTGATAAGGCTGCAGCCCTAAGATGTTTCCTGATTGTTCTGTAACGGAGTCAGCATAATAGAACATGTGCAACTCCTTAACTGTTGAGTATAAAGATAGGAGCCTTAGCTTGAACCAGTAATGAAGGGGAATTTCTGCTTGCGTTCTTTAGCTCTTTTGATGAGATGTAAAGACTGTGATATAAACTGAGCCAGTAACAACCAGGATGAAACTTGCTGGTTGTAAATGTGGCTTGCCCAGGATAAACAGCACTTATCATGTCAAGTTTATGACTACTTGTATGACTCACCAGGTTGTAGCCAAGCCACACAACTGGACAGTGGATAGATTACCCATATTTAGAGGGATTATGTTTAAGTAGTCCACAGCATAACTTTGTGGCACGGAGATTTAAAAATCCCAACTGTATACATAAAGATCAGGAAACTGCTTGCACATATCCAGTATAGAGCTGCCAAGTACATCATGGCATAAATGCCAGGCATTTATGTAAGAAGTATTGCTTTCATTAAATTTGATAGTATGAAAGCTGAGAAAATATGTTATCTTTTAAATATACCTAATAAATATTTGCAAGGAATCAGCATTGAATTTTTTGTGTAGTCTAGATTTGTAGCTATAACTGTTAATGAAAAAAAACCTGGCTGACAGATATTTACAGGATGCAAGTGAAACTGCAAAATATTGATTTGGGATGATATAATCATGACTGCTACTCTCTTTTCAAGAACTCCATACTTGCAGTAATAGTGATATTCCTTGTTTTGCAGAAGGACAGCACACTAGATGCAGCTGAAGTGATCCTGAAGAACTGGAATAAACAGACAGCCTGATTTTTCTTATTAACTCTTCCATCTAGTATAATTATCTAATAGTAGGGTTTTTTAATTGCAAATTTAAAAACAAATTACTTAATACAGTACAGAATTAATATGACATAGTAAATAACTTTGTGCTGCCACCTGCCGAGGTTAAAACAGTGATTTATTGAAATATGTGTAACGCTACTCAGAGGTTATTTTCAGTCTTTTTAAATTAAGTTACTTTTTTCCTAAAAAAATCTATTGGATTTACTTGTTTGACTGAAAGACAAAATTTGTAGGACTCTCTGTAAAATAAATAGATAATATAGGTATTTTAAAACTTACAAGAAAGACGTGGAGAAAGTTTTTGGTATGAGATAGTATAGGAACTAGGGGCGAGATTTAAACATCGTGGTTTATGAAACCCAATAGCCTGCAGTGGAGGAAAATTAAGATATGCCTTATATTAGATAATTGCAGTGACTTTCTACATACATACCTGCCTACCCTGTCTATGCACAAATTACATCAGTTTAAATAAAGTGATTGAATGAAATCAGTACAAGTGTTTATACTATAGGCAAGATTGAAAAGTGCTAAGTTGCATAATTACTATTTTATCTTCCCACAATAGTCATGTGTGCTGTTCTGAAAGTATTCAGTCCTCAATAAAATTATAACAGTGGCATCTAGAATAGGAATTCTATTTAACCACATCTACCTATTTATTTATTGATTGCACAGATGAATCTACAAAGCAAGATAGAAGACTTTGCTTTAGAGGCTCCTTCACAATCAGATGTACTGTGACATAATTAATCCTGTCATCCTTTTTCTTACCATGTTCACAACTTTGGTAACTTCACACCAAACTTATTTCAAACTCATTAGACCTAGGGGCACCACAGAGATGTGCCTAATACTGTGCTACAGAGCTCAACTAACTTTGTTTCAAGCTCAGCTGATAAAGGCCTGTTCCAAAAGTGATCAGTATGGAGAATTCCTTTCTAGTTGCTTCCTGTATCAGTTTTCTCTGAGATCTTTTCATCCGTGGGTGGGTTTCCCACTATCAGAAGCTATCCAGGTAGGTAACCTTTTAAGGTTGTGTATTTTGTTCTCCATGTTGTTTCTGTATTCTTCTCTCAGGCCTTATAGTGGAAAGCCTGAACAAATTCAGTAACTAGTTTTGTGGGTGTTTTACTCATTCTGTGATCACACAGCTGGATCCATCAGACTGACCATGGCCAGGGCCTAAAAAAAAAGCATAGAAACTGGGCTGTGAGAAAGCTGCTAGACTTTTTCATTAGTTCTTGAGATTTTGGGAGTCCAGTAGCTGGGACTTCCATAGTCTTTGTAGCTGTCGTGCACTGCCATTCCCTACATCTTGCCAGAAGATGGTTGCCTGGTATTTTTAAGGTGGTGTGCAGTCTTCATGTAGAAGAATCAATTTAATAATTAAAATAACTTAACTGAAATTTCAGCATGAATTTCATGTGAGAATTCCTACATTAAATTCCAAGAGGAACTATTTTTAAAAGATATTAAATTTCTGTGAAATCTACACTCTATTTTATAAGGAGTTTAAAATCTGTTTATGTGAGTTGCACTCAAGACCTGTGCTGTTGCAGGAACTAAGAGGGAAAGGAAAATGTAAAGTAGTTTGCTGCTTTAATTGAAAAGTGAATTTTTATAAAATTAAGCAAATTTTTCTAGCATAAATACATGGTAAAATCATAGGTTTCTATGAAATGTTTGTGTGATTTATATGAATCAGAATGTTCTAATTTCTTAAGCCTCTGAAATGATACAAAATAATAAAATACTTGAATTTTGTTTTCTTGTCCTTGGAACAGGTGCTTCTTAATGCAATTAAACCTTGCACAAGTAATATTGTTTTCATCAGTGTTATATATAAAAAGTTTTAAAATCATTGTATCATGCTTCTCTTGGAGATAACAGCTACAGAGTACAATTATCGAAGTGTTTTTTTTTTTTTTTTTTTTTTTTTTTTTTTTTCAAACCCTCTTTCTGCAATCTAAGATTTCCCTGAGATAGCTGGGTTGTTAGCAGGTGAGTACATACATAATTGGTCATTGGATCTTACAACAGCAGTAAGATATTAAGGGTTCTTCTATCCACCTCTCTTTACAATGTTTTTATGCTCTGTTTTAAAAAAAAAGTGCTTCCAAAAGACTTGATGTAACATGCTTATATTGCTCTCATTGGTAAATGGGACACCCTGTGTAAAATCAGTCTAGAATGTGCATGAAAGAAAAATGATATGCAGGGCTGAAGAGGAAGTTAAGAAAACTATAGCAAAATATTTTTTCCATTGTTATGCTTGACTCTCAAATATCTCATTAGTAAGCTATTAACTCACCAGCTAAAGCACCAAATTTGATTTGGGACACACAGGTGACCAATGTTTAAAGGTAGCTCTGCATTTTGTATATGTGCAGAGCCTTACTCTGGTTTTGTACTGGTTTTGGCTGGGATAGAGTTAATTTTTTTCACAGTAGCTAGTATGGAGCTATGGTTTGGGTTTGTGCTGGAAACAGTGTTGATAACACAGGTGTTTTAGTTACTGCTGAGCAGTGCTTACAGTGTCAACGTCTTTTCTGCTCCTCAGACTGCTCTGACAGTGAGTAGGTTGGAGGTGAACAAAAGGTTGGGAGGGGATACAGCTGGGACAGCTGACCCCCACTGAGGAGAGGGATATTCCATACCATGTGATGTCATACTCAGCAATAAAACTGGGGGGGAGGTTGAAAGGGGGGCCATTGCTTAGGGACTGGCTGAGCATTGGGCTCTTAGTGGCTGAGCAATTGTTTTAATTTGCATCATGTGTCTTTCTTGGGTTTTATTTTCCTCTCTTTTTTGATATTTTTTTTCTTTTTTCCTTAGAACTTTAAAAGTTATTACTTCTTCTTTAATTATTAAACTGTTTTTGTTTCAACTCACAAGTTTCTTTCTCACTTTTACCCTTCCAATTCACCTCCCATCCCACTGGGGTAGTGATGGGGAAGTGAGCAAGCAGCTGTGTGGTGTTTAGTTGCCATCTGGCGTTAAACCACGACCCTCATATTATAGGACCCTTTGTATTAGACTTGAGTAGTTTAATTTTTTTTTTTTTTCCTATTTTGTCCAGGTGCTGCAGTGTGGTAATCTTTTTGTTTCATCAAATGTCTGAACACATAAGATGCAGCACTGAGATGAATAAACATACCAAGCACAATTTAGCTGTTATGGCTATTTATTGTTTCCTTCATTTGCTCCTTTAAGGCATTTGACTAACATCTGCTATTTTAACAAAATGACTGTTGGCTAAATCAACAAACCATTACAAAGGACCTTTAGACATACAAGTAAGAACCAGTGACTTGTTTTCATTAATGTACTGTTCATTGTGTTTGCAAAGGCATCTGAATATCCCCTTGCATTATTGTTGAAATGATGCTGGTAACATTAGCAATGTAAGAACTGCAATTTAATTATAGATTTTTATTACTAACTAGCTAGCATTAAGTACTTTGGGTTCAATTTTAAGAAATGCCAGAATGACCAGTTAAGTAAGTTTAAAAATAGGATTAGTGTTGTAACTACAGAGATGGGAAAGAACAGATACAGCTGGGGACAGCAAGGTGAACTTTCTGTAAGTTGTTAAAATGATCTGTTGTTTACAGAGACTGCTAATAGTAGCATTCTCATCTGCCACATCAACGACTTTTCTGCTGCTTATGGACAAAGCGCTTGAAAAATTGCGGCAGACGGAATAAAGAAATGCTGAGATAGGATCCATCATTTTTTTTTTGCAACATTTCTGAAAATTATTGTCTTTCTGTGGTGGAAATTAAAACTCTCAATTCTAGTTAATGAGAATAGGGTCAGGAGGGACCAACTGCTGACAATGATTGCCAGCAGATCTCTTTCATAGAACAGGTTATATGAGAAGCCAGGACAAACCTGGAAAGCTTGATGAGACTGATAGTGCTGATGGGGCACATCTGTTGCAGACACTGCTACATACTCATTTCACTTAATATCGCATGCTGTATTCACACTGACAGTTACAGTGATTTTTTTTTTTTTGTTACTATTTCATCTTTTGAGCTATCTGAGGTTTATTGAGCTATTTGTGAAAAAGGGCATTGCAAAAGGAAAAAGAGAAGCTGTAAATTTGTGTCTTGGCATCTGTATCTTTTAATAGTTCAGCTTCCTTTTATTCCAAAAGGTGTATATATATTTTTTAAATCTGAAGAATGTGTTGGCATGTTCAAACTAGCTCGTTTTCAACCAGCATTCAGCATTTCAGTCAGCAGAAAACTGTTTAGAAGTTGTGTGGTGAATGAATTTGGCTCAATATTGGCAAGTATTAAGAGAACTTTTCAAGGCCGATGCATTTCCTTCTTTGATCTGGCAAAATGAAAAATATTCTTGTTATATAGTGCAGACATGGTCTTGTGGTGTGAACAGTCCTTTGTACCTGATTAATAGCCAATTTACAACTGTTCAGAGACATCAATACTGATCCCTTTAAAGCATGAAGTAATGGTACTTTCTGAAATCTGTAGACCCTTCTGTCCTATTCGTCCCTCTCTTTATCAATGAAGAGAGGCTCAAAACAAAGGAATATTTTTTTTTTCCCCCACACTGTTTGACAGCGTGGGCTTGAAAACCTGTTGTTGCTCAATCTACAAACTAATTTTGCATATGGATAATTTCTTGGGGAATTAGTCTGGACCAGAGTTAGCGCTGGAGGGCTTTGGTTTTGCACAGTTCTTGTGGGTTTCTCCTTCTCCGTGGCCTGATGTTTGGTGCCAAGGTGGGTGTGACGGGGAGAGGCAGAAGGGGAGCTCATCACGCCGGTCAGGGTGACCGGCGGGGTGTGCGTGTGCTGCTCGAGTCAGGCTGAGCTCTGTGCAGAGCCCCTCTGCCAGGGGCTTCCCCGAATCACACCTGCGGGTCTTGCAGGAGGGCCAGGTTTTTCTCACGGTCGGATCGCCGAGGGGCAAACCACAACAGCTGTAGCAGATGATGCCAGCGTCGGGGGAACTAAAATTTTCTTGTATTTTCTTCCCTTTTCTGGAAATTGGTCTCTGCTTGGTCTTAGTTCCCCAGACACTTTTCGTGCAAACTCCGGCAGTTTTGCTTCAGCTCGTTTTCTGCGGGATTCCACCGAGCTGCGGGAGAGCCCAGAAAGGGCTGGCCCAGAGCACGCCGGCGGGGA